TGGGCAAAGCTGATGTGATCCCTGCAGCCCTCAAGCTGCCCAGCCCCACCAGGTGCCAGTGGCTGAATCACAGCCTTGGTTCAGAGGAAATGCCAGGCCATCCTTTTGCCAGCAACACTCCACTTCCTGCCTACAAGCCACTTTTCCAAGCTACCAACAGCCCTCCAGGTGCCACTCGCCCACCCTCCAGTCCGCTGCCCACCTGGGACCCCAGCAAGTTGCCGTTAGGGGCAGAGCTGGTCAAAAAGCCGCCCCAGGCAGGTGGGCATCCCTTCCAGACCCACCTGCAGCTTCTCGGCGTCGCCTTGCTGCTGAGCCCACTGCTGGGAGAGGCTCTCCTCCAGAGTCTCCTTCCGGACCTTGAGGCTGGCCAGCTCCTTCTCCAGCTGCTGCAGCTGCAGCTGGTTCTGCCGCTTGTGCTTGGTGGCCTTCCAGAGGTTCTCCTTGGCTTCGCAGAGGGAAGCCTCCAGCTGCGAGACCTCCATCTTGTAGGTCTCCACCGCTCCTTTCCAGATGTTGGTGAGCCTCTTGGCGTAGTCTTCCACTCCCACCGGCTGGAAGCAGACGGGCACCCCGCGGAAGCCATCCAAGCTCTGGGAGAAGCTGGTCGTCTCCTGGTCCAGCCGCAGCAGCTCCTCTTGGTGGGCCGCCACCAGGTCTTCCATCTCTTTCTCCAGCTGGGTGGCCTTCTCCCTCAGCCAGATGTGGGCCCGCTTCTCCTCCTCCATCTCCTTCTTGCTGAGGGACAAGAACATCTTGGCCTCTTCCTGGGCCGCCCTCTCCCTCTGGCACCTGCTCTTCACCTGTTGGACCTCTTCGTAGAGGGAGTCCCTGGCCAGCTCCACCACGCACTTCTCCTGATAGGCCTGGTCCAGGGTGGCCCGGAGCGTGGCTACCTCCACCTCGTACTTGGCCCTCCAGGGGGTCTCCACCAAGCCCCCCTTCAGGCCTTGGATCTCGGCTTTCAGCAGCTCGTTCTCCTCTTCCAGGAACTTCACCCTGGCCAAGTAGGCCTCCAGGCGCTTGTTGAGGTCCCACATCTGCAGAGATTCCTCTCCCAGAGGCCGCGAGGGGCTGAGGAAGCTGTCCATCTTCCAGGCGCCTGTCGGAGGCAGAGTCCAGCCGAGAGAGGAGCCTGGCTGGTGAACAAGGGCTGGGCAGCTCCGCACGGGCGATTCATATGGAGGAGGGGAGGCTCCTGGCCAAGGAGGCTGGGCTTAACACCTCCCCCCCCCCCCCATCGCCCAAGAAGAGCAGCATTCCTCGGGAAGCCGGCGGGGCGGGTGGGAGGAAAGGAGGCTTGGAAATGCCTCCTCGGCAGCTGCTCCCCCCCTGGCGGTGGTGCCCCCCCCCAGGAAATCAAGAGGCTCCTCAACATCTCCCTGGTAGGGAGGTTCTCCCAGTTGCCTCTCCTCCCCCTCCCCAGCACCATGCACCTCAGGAGGGAGGGAGGGAATGTGGGGCAGAAAACGCCACCAGGCTCTGAGTGGTGCTCAGACAGCTGTGCTGAGATGGGCTCCAGGCAGGCTTGGGGGTGCCATCATTTTTTGGGGGGGTTCTTTGTTCTGTGCACCCCACATACATTAGTGCTCCACGTCAAAAAGGCCGGTTTTTAGGAGAGAGAGAGGCCGGAGGGGTGTTTGGGGGGGAGTGGAGGAGGAGTTGGGGGAAGCAGGATTTCAAAGGGGGGGGGGGCTGCGTAGGAGCCCATAGGAGGGACAGCGAGCGTGCCTTGGAAGAGGGCGCCCTCTGGTGGACAGAAGGTGGAGCTTAGGTGGAGTTTCGGAGGCCACCCGGGGAACTTGGGGGCAGCTGCCGCTCCAGAATCTCCCCATTCCCTTTGGATCCACTCTGTGCCAATCCAGCCTCTGAGACCTTTCTAGCGACGGGGCTGGAGAGCCGGAACCTTCCCCTTTGCAAAGGAGGGTGCCGAGACCATCCCAGGGAGCCCCTCCTGGGCAGTTCCCTCCTTTTCAAATTCCCCTCGGCGCTTATTTGCCAGCGGAACTTATTTGCCCAGAACTCGGTTCAGTCCCCAGCCCAGGTTAGCCGAGTGGGCACCGCCGTTGGCTGGTGGGGAGAGAGAGAGGTTCCAGACCAGCCGCTAACATTGTCACGACTCGCAGGAAACTCACCCCCAAATCTCTTTCTGGGGGAGTCACCAAAGCCCCTCCCTTTTCTGCCCCACCCGCGCGGTGGCTTCGACAGCAGAAGACTTTCCAAAAGCTTTATTGAGGGCAGGCAGGGATTTCTGGCTGCAGCAGCCGGCCGGAGGTCGCGGGATCCACCAGGGGCGCGTTCCGGGCGCTCGGGCCCTTCGCCTCTTCCCTCCTGGCAGCCGGCAGCGCGGGGGGCAACCAGGGCGGGCCGTCCTCCTCGTCCTCCTCGTCCTCCTGGTCTTCCACGGAGAGCTCGCGCGGGGGCACTTGGATGCCCAGCTCCGCCTCCACCCTCCACAGCCGGCTCCGGACTCGGCGCAATTGGCCGCGCAGCATCTTGATCGAGCGGAGGCACTCCTGGCAGCCCCGGTAGTCTCTCTGCCCTGGAAGCAGAAGGGCAACCTCGGGGCTCCGCCAGCCAGACCCCCGACTGCCCGCAGCGGCAGCTCCTGGAGCCCCGCCCCACCTGTCCCGGACGCGGTCTCCCATCCCGGCCCGCTGCGCTTCCTCGGGCGCGGAGCAGGACCCCGAGACTGGCCCGGGGAAGGCGCCCCCACCGGCGGACTCACGGTCGTGTAGGTGGCGCTCCTGGCGCTCCAGGAAGGTCTCCAGCGCCTCGTGCAGGTCGGGCAGGTGCGGCGGCAGCGGCGGCGGGGCGGGCGGCGGCGGGGGCGCGGGCAGCAGCAGCAGGGAGCAGCCGGAGAGGGAGGCGGCGGCGGCGGCGAGTCCCTGGCGCGAGGAGGCCAAGGCCAGCAGCTCGGACGGAGGCGGCGAGGGGCGGATCGGGAAAGCGCCTGCCGGAGCAGAGAGAAGCGTCGGCCGAAGCCCCGGACGGGGAGGGGGCGGGGGGCGAGGGAGCGGCCGGTAGCCGCGCGCACCTTCGGTTTCCCGGTGCTGCAGGCGGACCTCGGCGCGAATGAGTCTCCGGCGGCTGCGGCAGATCTGCAGGCTGAGGGCGCGCAGGGTGCGCGGGAAGTCCCGGCAGGTGCGTCGGATCCTCAGCTCTGGAGCGGAAGGAGAGCGAAGGGCAGGATTCGGCGGCGGGGGCGGGGGCCGGAGGGGTCAGTGGCCCCAGGAGCCCGGATACTTACGCCCCCGGAGGTACTGGCCTTGCAGGGCCTTCAGCGCCTCCAGCCGCTCTTGCAGCGCCTCCAGGCTGAGCGCGGTGCCCAGCGCCCGCTCCGCTGCCTGGGTGGCCGAAGGCGGCGGGGCGGCGAAGTCGCGGGAGCCCGAGCCGGAGGCCGGGGGAGGCGAAGGCGGAGGAGAAGGCGAAGGCGGCGTCCTTGCTGCAGGGGCAGGAGAAGCGGGTCTTAGTCTCGGCGGGAGGGAGGGAAGGAAGGATCAGCACCCGAGCGCTGCTGCCCGGCCCATCCCGGGGTTGCCCTCGCCCAGGGGGAGGGGCGCCCCCGCAGGAACCGGAGCCAGCACTCACCATCTTCTGTCTCTTCTCTCTTCCTGGGGAGGCTCCTGAGAGGACCAAGAAGGGTCAGCAGGAGCAGGCCAGGGTCCCCAGGGCCAAACCCCCCTCCTCCAGCATCCTCTGGCCAGCCCTTGGCCCACCGTGAGGGGATTGGGGGACCCCCAGAGCTGCCCAAAAGGGGCCACAGCGAACTCTGCCAGTGCAGGAACACTAAAGCCACCTGAGGCCTGGGGGGGGGGGGGAATCCCTCATAGGAGCCCAGTCCCCCCCCCCCAGCCCCTGCCCACACGGGGCCCCTCTGGGCTGATCTCCCGACCCAACCAGTGTTAAGGAGATGAAGGTGCCAACGGCCTCCCTTGGGCCTGATCCGTTGGAGGGAGGTTCGGGCTCCCAGAGGCCACTCACTCGCGGTTGCTGTCAAGGCTGGGCCTGCAGGAAAGGAAGGGGGGTGAGGGCATCATCCCCCAGGCCGGAAGAGGAAGGGCAGCCCAGCCCACTCCCAGAATGGAGTATGGGAGCCCCCTTGGGTGGGCAGAGGCCAGCTCCCATCATCCCCGCCTGTCTATGTGTGCTTGGGAAGAGGCTAAGGGGAGGGGGCCCTTCCCCACACCCAGCCTCCCTCCAGCCAAGGGGTCTGCCTGGGGTTGGGGGTCCCTGCCTCCTGTCCCGTCAGTACCTGCCCCCTAAACAGGACAGCCAGCTTCCCATCCCGCGGCCGAGGGGGCCGGTCTGAGTTGTTGCTGCTGCAGCTGCGGCTGCTCGGAAGGTTCCGGCCATCTCCGGGACCCCCGGATTCCGAGGCTTTGTGAGGTCAGAGCTGCCCCCCACCCCCCGGACCCCCCTACAAGAACTCTGCTGGCCAGATAGGCAGGCAGAGGCCACAGAAGGGAGGGAGGAGCCCCCTTCCCAAATCTCTCTTCCTGGGAGAAAGCACCCTGCGGGGTAGCAGTGGGCTTGGGGGAGGACCAACCCCCCCCCCCAATTCAATTCAAATACAAGCCGGGGACCCAGCTCCAAGGGGCCCGGTGGGCAGGGGGCTGCGCTGGGTGGTCCCATGGCCTCTTCCAACTCCAGGATTCCTGTGGTCCCTGGCCCCCAAATGTTTGCAGGAGCCCCTCCTCACTCAGCTGTGCAAGGCAGCTGCCAACACCGGAAGCCGCCCAGGGGGAAACTGCAGACGCCACGAACAAGGCAAGCCGGAGAGGAAGCCCCCTCCCTCCCCGCAGGCAAAGGTCTGTTTTGGGGGTCCTCTTCCTCCACCAACCAGTTGCAATGGCCGATGGGCACCCCCTCCCCAAGGAAGGCCTGAAGATCCCCAAACCCCGTGCAAAAGGCTTTGCAACCCCTCCTCCTCCTCCCCCTCCCCCCTCGCCGGACCCCCTCTGCTGCCCAAAGAGGAAACGACAAGGCACGGCTGCATGGTTTTTTTAAAAAGGCACCCAACTGCGTTTATTCCAAAGCGACCGATCCGTACATTCCCTCTACGAATTAGGACTAGCTCAAAGCGTAGCACCGGCGAAACGGCCGGCCAGGAGAGATGCAGGCGGGCTGGGCAGAGGCCGTTTCCTGTTCCTGGGGTGGAAATGTCGGGTTGCGCTCCCTTCCCGCCCAGCGCCGGACACGGAAAGGAGAGGATGATGCAATCTGGTTGGTAGCACCGAGGAAACCCAGAGCGCCGGCTACGCGCTGCAGGAGGAGGAGAAGAAGAAGGTGGGAACTTTGAGCCCTGCATAGCTGACCAGGGATTCTGGCACCTCCCCCAGCAGGGGATATCCAAGACACACTGTGCTGATCCATGGAGGTTCCACCCAGCTCCCCTTTCCCCACCGTGCCTGCCTACCTCTTCTCACGATCTCTGCTTTCCTGCTCTTCTTCTTCTTCTTCTTCCTCCTCCTCCTCCTCCTCCTCCTCTTGGGCAGCCTTTCCCTTTCTTTCGCCTCCTCCGAGCACATCGAGGGGGGGGCTGCCGCCCCCGCCATTCTTCCCCTGGCCTTCCCCTGGCTCCGACTTCTGGTTCCCAGCTTCCTGGGCCGCGTCCTCACAGCCCGGCTTCTCCCCAGCCGCCTCCGACTGGTCTTCCCTGCTGTCCTTCATGCGCTTGAGGGAGGAGTCCTGCAAGGGGGCAGGCCGCTCTCAGTTGGGGCCGGCATGGACCGGGGGGGGGGGGGGGGGAGTCCTGGGCCCACCTTCCTGCCAAGGCGACCTACCTCCGGGCCCTCCGGGGCCTTCCTCTTGTGGGAAACCTTCTGGTTCTTCTCCCTGACCTGCTCGTCAATCACCAGGTTGCCCTCCTCCTCTTCCTCCTCGGGGCTGTTGCCTTTGGGGCTGCCCTTCCCGCCAGCCTCCGGCTCCTTCTTGGCCCTCCCTTCCTCCAGGGGCCGCTTCTTCTGAGCCGGCTGCCAAAGCAAGCTGCCATCAGTGGGGGCTGCCCAGAGAAGGGCCAGCGGGCCCCGGCCACAGGGTCCAGGGGAAGTGGACTCGGCTTATCCCATAACAATCCCTGTTTATTAGCACCTTTATCAGCCCAGCTAATGCTGAAGGGCCCTTGCCCCCCCCCCCCACCCCGGGCCCCTTGTGGCTGCATGGAGTTAGAGGTATCGGAGCCACGGAGGCCACGGCTAAGCCAGGTCAGGGCCCCATGTTCCACCCACCTGGTACCCCGAGGCCTTGATGGTGGGGTTGTTCTCGATCTCCCACAGGCCTTCGCTGAAGCCTTTCCGCTTGCTGGCTTTGCCAAACTTTGCTTTGCCCTCTTCGTAGGGAAAGAGATCCTTGGCACCCAGGAAGGCCCTGCGGGGGGGGGGGGGGGGTGGGTGGTCAGACTCGGCTAGCATCAAAAGGGCACCTGAAGAGCGGGGAGGGCCTGCTTCCCACCCGTTGGAAGACAGAGATGCCCCTCAGGGAGAGGAAGGGAGAGTTGGGGGGGTCCCTGTGGGCGCCTCCCGGGGAGCCCGGCTCCTGGCGTTACTCACGTTTCGTGCGTCCCAAAGAAAAAGACCTGGTATCTGTTGGAAGTTGACTTCACAGCCGATTCCGGCATCTCATCGATCTGTGGGGGAGAGAAAGTGGGGTGTCGAAAGGCCTCTTGGCCGGGGGGGGGGGGGGGCTGCTCCCCTGCCTGAGTTTCTCACGAATCCTGGGCCCCTCCAGCTTATTCCCCCCACCCTTCTCTGAAAGTGGTAGAACTTTTATTCGTGGTCACCCGAGATAAGGTGCCTCAGTGATTGGCGGGGGCTCCACCCAGCCCAAGGCAAGGGAGGTTCCAGGCTCTTCCTGCACACTCTGTCCCCCCCCCCCCCCCCCCCCCCCCCCCCCC